ATAATTTGGAAACGATTTAAGAATATAAGATACCGTTATAAGCGGGTTAAATTAGTTCTTAAGTAGTAAACATGTTAATGCTTCTTTTGGTTTGGTCTAACATAAATTTCTTAAGAACGAATTTCACAAATTTTATTTAATTTAAAATGCCCTGCTTTTTATTAATTATAGTCACTTTAACACTCTTGGGTCATTCGTGACTTGTCCGGGGGTGGGATTTGAACTCGTGACTTTGGCGTGAGAGGTAAGGATGTTAACCACTACGCCGGGGTCACCCCCATGTCTTGCTTTCTTTAAACTAGCAAAACAATAAAATCCAATAGGTTGCTATTAAAGTTCATTTGAAATTATTTCAATATTATTTTAAATTCACATAAATTTTGCACTAAATTGCAAAATCATACACACTTAGATTTTTTGCCGAGATGGGCACCACCGAGCAGCTCGGCATTTTATTTTACTGGATCTCTGTGAAAAATTTCATCTCCGCAAAATTCCCGTTTTTTATCTGAATCTCTGCAAGTTTTCCACTGAAATCCGGCAAAATAAAATGCCGAGCTAATGGTGATGCCCATCTCGGCAAAAAATCTAAGTGTGTGAGGCCAAGTTGTCTGAAATTCTGCTACCCACCTGCGGGCAGCCCGCTACCCATACCTGAGGGCAGCCCGCTACCCACCGGAGGGTCGCGACCCATAGATTGAGAAACGCTGCCCTAGTTTGAAGTAGTCACGACTATGAATCGGTGGTAGAACTTACATCCCGTAACGTACAACGAAAAAGTGATCCACCCACATTTCGGGGCTAGGTACGCCTGTAGGATACGCGCAGTCATAAATTGTTTATATTGGTTCTAAATTCGGCTTACGAGTTTCAATTGCGTTAAAACGCATTGCAGCGCCTTTGAATTTACTACGTTATTTTAATGAAGGCAAAAATGGAATGGAAAAATAAACACTTGGAAAACACTTGGAGAGCTTATTTTTTTATTTTATAATTTTTTTTGAAAAAAATTGGTGTAAATATTTGTCTATAAGAACATAATACACCATGTTTTGTAGGTTTTGAACTAAAGTAAAGGGTGATACGGTCAAAATTTGGTCAAGGGAAAACGCGTGTAAATCGGTGAAATCGTTTATTTAAAAAATCAAATTAAATTTCTTTTTCAAGTTCAATTAGTATAAAATTCAGGAAAAATATTCAGTTAGGCTTCCGCTTTTCCAAATCCGAATTGCCGGGCCTTACGCTTGACCCCTGCCATCAGATTTTGTACAGCCACCTTGTCCACCTTCTTCGCCGCAGAAAGCCAGTTTGCCTTGAACTGCTGCTCGCCCTTAGCAGTTTTTTTGGTCTTCTTTAGGTTCCGCTTGACAATAGCCCAGTATTTCTCAATTGGGCGGAGCTCTGGCGTGTTGGGAGGGTTCTTGTCCTTGGGAACCACCTGCACGTTGTTGGCGGCGTACCACTCCATGGCCTTTTTACCGTAATGGCAAGATGCCAAATCCGGCCAAAACAGTACGGAACAACCGTGTTTCTTCAGGAAAGGCAGCAGACGTTTATTCAAACACTCTTTCACGTTAATTTCTTGGTTGACAGTCCCGGAAGCTATGAAAATGCTGCTTTTCAAGCCACAGGTACAGATGGCTTGCCAAACCAGATATTTCTTTGCGAACTTTGACAGTTTCATGTGCTTGAAAACATCTGCTACCTTTCCCCTTCCTTTTGCCGTATAAAACTCCTGTCCCGGAAGTTGTTTGGCTTTGACGTAGGTTTCGTCGTCCATTACCACGCAGTCAAACTTCGTCAGCATCGTCGTGTACAGCCTCCGGGATCGCGCTTTGGCCGTCGTATTTTGTTTATCATCGCGATTTGGAGTCACTACCTTCTTGTAAGTCGATAGTCCGGCTCGTTTTTTGGCTCGATGCACGGTTGTAGACGATACACCCAGCTTATTTGCGGCATCTCGGAGAGAGAGGTTAGGGTTTCGCTTGAAACTACCGGCAACTCTCTTTGTCGTCTCAGCGGCTTCCGGTTTTCGATTTCCCCCCGATCCAGACTTCCTGGCTGTCGACAAACGTTCCCCAAACACTTTAATTACATTTGTAACGGTTGATTTGGCAACTTTTTGCAATTTTGCCAACTTTGCGTGCGAGTAGCTCGGATTTTCGCGATGCGCGAGCAAAATTTTGATACGCTGCTCTTCTTGCTTGGACGGCATTTTGACAACTGAAGTGTGAATTCCAAAATCAAAATAGGAGCAACATTCTACACACACACACCTTCAAAATGAGGGGTGTTCAGGTTTTTTAAATGCAAAATTGAAAGAAATACGTCAAGTTGATATTGACCAAATTTTGACCGTATCACCCTTTATCGTACTAATCATACCCACTTAGTTTTTTTTTGCCGAAATTGGCACTGCCGACTAACTTGGTAAAAAACTAAGTGTATACGTTATACGCTTAGTTTTTTACCAAGTTAGTCGGCAGTGCCAATTTCGGCAAAAAAAAAACTAAGTGGGTATGATTAGTTTGTTAACGAGATAATCATAAAAATATTTAATGTTTTCTGCTCGATAGGCCAAAAATAAATGGTGGTGGTTAGGAGAGGTTGTTGCTGAGTGGGGGGGGGGGGTTAGGAAAGTTTGTTGATGAGGGGGGGGGGGTAGGAAAGGTTGTTGATGAGTTGGGGGGGGGGGTAGGAGAGGTTTTTGAGTGGGGGGAGAGATTGTTGTGAAGGGGGGAGGGGGAAAGGTTGTTGTGAAAGGGGGAGGGGGTTTACATCATTACTTTTCCTCATTGTGGTCACGCCGTGATCCACCTATAGCCGCTGATTTGGTGCTGCTTACTGCAGGACCAAGTGCCACACCGTCCGAAGCGAAAATGAGCAAACGCATAACAGCAGCGCTGTTTTATATCTTTTCAGGTTCAGAACCTGATAGGATTTCCCGCCATTTTTTTATGAATGGGGCGGAGCAAAAAGTTTCTTTTGTGCAGAATATTTTAAAAAAGGATGGACTTTGGATGTTAATATAATTGCATATATAGAGGTACCAGATATGTTTTACAGTCAGTTGTTGGTAATTCATCGAGTGTATGTCTCCTATTAAGCAATATTTTTTTTGAAAATTTTGGCTCTTCATGTAAAAAATTAATTGTTCATACATTATTAGGGTTTGCTTAAATTTTATTTCCCGAAAAAAAATGATCGTCAAAGTCCATGTCTTTTTCGGGTTATTGTTAAGGGGGAGAGGGATTTTAAGCGGGAGGGGGTTTCACATGCACGTTTTTTCAAGTCTCATTCCTCATTGTGGTGGACACGCCGTGATCCACCTTTAGCCGCTGACCTAGTCCTGCTTGATGCATGACCTAGTGCCACGCCGTCCGAAGCGGTAATGAGCAGAAGCATGAGAGCAGCGCTGATTTATATCTTTTCAGGTTCAAGCAGAATGATGTGCAACCAAGTGGTATTCTTTTATGATGACTGGGTTTGGGAAAAAGGCTTATTTCATGAAATCAGTGATAAAATTATCATTTGTACATTTTCAATAGCTTAGTTACAGAAAAATTGGAAAAATATTTATTTCAACAGGTTCGTAATGTAATATCCTATCGATTGGCGTATTTGGATTTTAATTTCATCTATAAATGACAAAGTTACAAGCGTTTAAAACCTAACACTCCTTCACCACACATATTTTTTGATTAGCACCCCAGTATAGTTGACAAAGACGTAGTTCTACGTCAAAAATCATTAACAGGGCGGTATCTAAAAAACGTGACGTGTTAGCGTGTAAGTAAGGAAAATGGCACTGTGGAGTATTATGGAAAAAGTAGGCATTGAGAAAATGGCTGTTTAAGTTAAGAAGTGCAATTTCCATGTAAATATTAAAAAATCAAATTAAATTAATCGATAATTTTGTCAAGTTATTTGAGGATGGGACTGATATACGATTACTTTGCTTGGTGGGACATCAAGTAGTTATTTTCACATTTTTCATGATCAAAGTCACGTAATATATAATAAGTAGATGCTAATTGATAGTGACTGGCGTTATTACCTTAACATTGATGAAAATCCATATGGGACTGATATGCGATTATAGGCGTTTACTCTAGTCATTTGTTAGTCTTGTTAGTCTCATTTAAAAAAAATCGACTATACTTGTTGATGGTTTATCGAGAATTGCTTTTATTACTCAAATTTCACTTAGCCTAAACTGGAGGTTCCACTACTTTGGCCTAATCTCGCATTTTGGGCCAATCGAGCAGAAAACATCAAATAAATCATTGTTTCAGTGTTAACCAGTCAATTATGCATTTGGTACGATACTTTAGTTCAAAAGCTATGGAGGCGACCCCGGCGTAGTGGTTAACATCCATACCTCTCACGCCAAAGTCAAGAGTTCAAATCTCACCCGGACAAGTCACGAATAAAAAAAATCAAAAGCTACCGAACGAAGTCAATGAGAACGCGTGATATGAATGTTTACACCCATTTTTCTCAAAACAAAATAATCGCTCCGACCGAATCACATTCATCCGATACCTCGACACTTATTTTAGGGTAGATGACTGACGACGGTTAGGGATTTTTGACTACTCAGCAAAACGCAACAAATGCGATCTGCTGGAAATTAACAGAATTCGATGGCGTCTGCACTAATTGCACTAATGTTGGCCTATGGATCTAAAGATTGGACCCATGGATAAAATTATCATATTCTTCAATTTTTCTTGGAACAATGTGTTATCTGGACAAAACAAATGGATTTTGTTATTTGCTATTGAAAATATGTAAAAAAAAAATGCTTTGCTTCGAAATTTATGCATGGGCCTAATATTGGGATACTTAGGCCGACGTTAGGGGCATTAAACCTACATTCTGCACTAACTAAAACTAACACTAATTTGCATCAGTTGAAGAAGAGTTGGCTATACAATGCTGCTAAATTGTAGATACATATTACACATACTTTTATTCTCTCAATACCACATGTACAGGATATTCGTGGGAAAAAGTTTTTCTCGTTCTACCCATTGAGATTGTATCCAAAGCGAGCTCCTTCCGGTTTTCTTGGTTTGAGAGGTAAAAAATACTACTTTAATGGTGTGAAGCGTGTGCCTTCAGGGTTTACAGGTAAGCGAAATCATAATGGACCACTTAGTAAAGCAGTTTTTGCGTGATATTCTATTATTATTATTATTATTATCTCTATTTAGGAGATTTTCAGCCGCAATACGCGTGATATTCTAATAACATCACTTTCTTGATGCATATGAATTATAAGGACTTATAATTATATAATTTTATTTCAAAGTTCAAGTAATAGTAAATGTCATTTTTGCTACTACTTGCCAGTTTCCAAAGTGATCCATTAACAACTGCAACAGTATACATTTTATGCAAAATTATTTACCCTAGGAATGCGAGGTAAAAAATCGGAATACGACGTCGATGATAACCCAAGCGAATTTGATCTGACAAATGACTCCAGTCCTTATGAACTTCTACAGAAAGAGAGGAAAATGCTTGATGAGTTGAATGAAATCTATCAAATTGATCGAGAAATGAAAAACAACCCTGCGTTTTCCATGGAAATTGCACATCAAAATGCCGAAAAACGGGCACCATCAGGCTTCCTTGGAATGCGCGGGAAAAAAGGAACTGATGTTATAAATGGATATTCTGGTGTTAAGCGTGCTCCATCTGGATTTCTTGGTAAGTAACCAGTCAGAACACACTTAGAAGTTTATATAGAAATCTGAAAAATTAACCTAAAACTCAACAGCTGAACGTCAGGTAATTTATTTGGTGGATTTTTTGAATTACCGAAAGATCTGTAATTATCTTTGAAACATTTTTCAGATTTCATTTTTATTTTACCGAACATTTACGGTTAATCTGTGAACTTGTTTAATGGGATTTACCGATTTTTTTTTCAGTAATTTCGGGAATTTTTCGGATTAATTAAATATAAATTAGATTTTCCCATAAGATTTTTTATAAATTGATTTCGTAAATTTTAATAAAAGGCAAAATTAATAATCATAGTTCTGGCATGCAAACGCTAAGAACAAAAAAAACCCAGATATAGAGGAGATGGCTCTAATGTTGGCCTATGGATCTAAGATTGGGCTCATCATTAAAAATCAGCTATTTATAAATTTTATATGGATGAACGCGTCATTGGGACGGTACTCATGAATATTTTTGGTCGCTATTGATAATTTAGTTGATTGCTGAATTTATGTATGGGCCCAAATTAGGGGCATTTAGGCTGACATTACATCCATTTCCCCTAGATCAAGTTTACTCAGATTGCTCGTAAATCGAATAAACCTATGGGTAAATGCCAAGTACCCAAATATGGATACACAATATGAACTGAAATATTGGTAAAAAAATAAACCCAAATATGGGTAAAATTTATTAATACTGCAGTAAATTTTATGAAAATTTGACTAAAACTGGTTCTATTTGGCCTACCTAACGCTACTATTAATAAAGTTAATCAGTTTTTCTTGCTAAATGTTATCCCTGAATCACACTATTCTACGTTCTGGATTCCTAAAGTAATTGTTATTGCACTTACGTACAGATAGCAAGCTTACCTGTAAATCATTAAGAAAAAAGGCTAGGGCGATGCGTACGAATAGTACACTTTTCCCATAGTAATTCCCATAAAAACCTCAAAAGGCCAGTGCAGTATGAGATCACAACCAAATGACCTCAAATTAGAAACTGATTTAAAATCGATTGTGGGGTAGAGCAAATCGATGTTTTGAACCACCTCAATACGCTTGTAGGCATGCACGGACCACTAGGCCTAATTAAATAAAAAATAACTTTATGCACAGAAATCAAATCGATTTGCGATTCTTGACATAGTTTTGTAAAAATTGAGCATTTTTTTAATTTTTGACAAGCAAATGAATAGGTTTGATCCGTATCCCATGCATTTTTCCATATAATCTTTAAAATTCTGCCGCAAATCCAGATCGATATCAGCCCGAAAGCGCAATGTGGAGCAGGAGGTTGTGATACACCATATAAACTCTAGTGAAGACAACGTAAAAGTCACGCACAAAGCTGAAACATTTTGCTCCGCACTTGCCGTTTTGCAAAGAAAAGCCAAATCGTCTGATATATGGTGTCCCAGAATGTCTAAGCACGATAAAAAAAAAACGATAACGTAACTCTGTTTACAGCAAATTCGATTTTTATTTCGTATTCATTTTCTCTATAGTATTCTCTTACAGTTAAACGTAGAAAATCCGAGATCCGATCAGCCGTATTTAGTTTCAGCACATATGCCTTGCCAACAATTTTGGGTACTTTTTCCCAGTCTTGGAAGCCGATGCCTTTACATGTTTCCGCAAATATGCTTCGTACATGGACCCAAAAAGTTTCGATTGACCTGACCTGGGGGCAGTTTGACGGATTTATCTCCTTGGGTAGGAATTGCATCTTGTTGGCTTTATACCAGGCTACCGTGTCCACGTGTCCAGGTAATCCACCAAAACAGTACTGAGGTGTCGTGTTTGCGGATCACGTAACACACGTAAAAATCGGTTGCCATTGCTTCCGTTGTCACAAACGGTATGGAAAGCATACCACATGCACAATTGGCTTGCAAAAGCCTATTTACCTAATTTTTCGGTAAAAATCGACTTATCCGCGTCGTCAACACTTCGGCCATCACAAACGGTGTAGTACTGATCGTATAACTTCCGAGCCCTCGGTTTGACGGATGCGGCTTGTTTTTCACTCCGCTTTAGTTTCATTTACTATTTATACGTCTTTAGACCCATTCAGCGGGCCTCTTCGTTACTCCGTTACTCTTCGAGGATCCCACTTTTTGGGCCACGTCTCGAACTGAAGCACTTTTCTTGTGAGTGAAAGCATGCACGATTTTCCGGTCCAGATTTCGGTCAACAGGGTTCGGTTTACGTCGAGATTTTTGCTTATCCTGGAAAGTTGCTTCATCACCATACTTCCGGGAATAGTATACCATTTGTACACGCTGTGTTGAGCTTTTCTGGATAAATGCTTCGCATTGTTACGGAAATGTAAAAAACCGACACTTGCGATACACGAAACTGTTGGTCGAAATGTAAGCAATGATTCAACGTGATAATATGCTGTTTAAACGTCATCTGAAACAAGCAGGGGAGTTCCAAAGTCGTGCTTAGACATTCTGGGACACCCTATAATTTTTAAGCGAATCTCTGTATCGACTTGGTACACATCTAGAAACACTTTATTTTTCACGTGACGGAATCCATCTTTGACATAAAGGATGAGACGTAAACAAACATGTCATGTAAAATTAGGTGCTCCGAGACTAAAACATTCGTTATTCGACAAAAAGCTGAGCTGAATTTCACGTCTATTATGACTCAATTTTATATCAAAAAGTTAGTTAGTTATCATACATTAAAATTGAAAAGTATGTTGAAAGTACCAAAAAAACTGGTGAAATTTTATGCATTTTAGTGTTTTTAAGTTGAAAATTTTCATTTCTGTTTATTTAGTTGTTCTACAAAACATTCTCCATGCAGTTTTCTAGATTTGTGCCTTTGGTAGTAAACTTGTAGGCTTTATGGTTTCTTCGTAATTATTGATTTGAAACAGCCTTAAAAACTTGTGACGTTTTCTTAAAATGCGCTATGGTCACCCTATTCGTTCGTACATTCGGCTTTTGCAGTGGACTACGCACATGAAAATTTGGTAGAATGGTATTGAAAATGCTAAGCTACATTCTTAACTTTCGACTATCGCACATCTCCTGCGCCGAAAGAAAACATAACTGCGGAGATGTTTCGCGGTATCGATTATTGCTCAGTTTCAGCAGAACACACAGCGAGAGACACCGAATCGGCGAATTCTTAGAGCGGAAGGGAGAGAAGTCGGTAGTGGTAATAAGTCGATGTCCCTTTTATTTCATAGCACTCGCAGCTCAGCTGCAGTGCTGTTTCGATGGAAGAGTGCGCAGCTCCGCTGCTTCTGTATACACACTTAGATTTTTTTTACAAGAGTCAGTATTTTTTACTGGATTTTTGGATTACTGAAAAACTCGGTTAAAATTCAAATGACTGTTATTCGCAAAGATATATTATAGATAGATTTCTCAAGGTACTCTTTTTGATGCTGTTCTATCCCTTGAAGCAAGTGACGTTTGGCTTGGGAGCCCAACTGAAACTTAGCCCACTTAAAGTTAGCCAAAACAAGCGAAATCCGACTGTACCTGTGTCCGAGACGAAACTGGTGAAGACTGTTTTCGTTTTCTCTTGTTTTGGTGGCCCGAATGGCAGTTTAATATTTCAAATTTCAAATTTGAAGAGAAATTTAAAATTTTCTAGAGATGAACAGACTGTTGGGAAATATCGGATATTGAACAACTATTAAAGGCGAGATTTATCGAGCAACGTTTTTATTTCAATGTGGTTCAATTACACGCTTTTAGAAGAATGACGGAAAATAAACTTCTGGTTGCATCATACGTTTTTCAAAAGAACATAGTTTGTTTGCTCTCTACGTTGTCGTTGTGCGAGGGACGCACTGATGTAGACCGCATGTGGTGTGCTTTCCAAAACTCCTCCTCACCATGTGCCGCCGCTGTCCTTTGTCTGTGACAGTCCCAGCAATCCTGATAATTTCTTAAGTTTTAGTTAGCATGTCAGCCACCATCCCTTCAGTGGGACAATATTCAAGTCGCACAGATCCCCTGTCGCACAACTCTCGAATATGCTTTGAGCGACGGCTGATTCGTTCTGATTGCACACACTGGATGCATCCTTGATTATCTTCCATAATACATGTCGGTCCATCCAAAGTTTCACCCATGTCACTAAGCAGTCTTCTCAACCAGACAACCTCTTGACTGGCCTCTCCAAGCGCCACGTACTCAGATTCCATTGAGCTGAGTGTGACACAGTGTTGTAGTCTGCTGCCCCAAGAAATCGCCCCTCCAGCATAGAGGAAGACATAACCCGTTGTCGACCGACGAGTACTGATGTCACCAGCCCAATCTGCATCCGAGAATCCTAGTAGTCCTTCAGTATCGCTCTTGTACACCAGCTTAGCACCTTTCGTTGATTTGAGGTAACGAAGCACCCTCTTCACCGCCACCCAATCATTTTCAGTAGGAGCACACACCTTACGACCAAGTATAGACGCACTTACGGCTATGTCTAGGCGAGCACACACAGCGACGTAAAGTAGGGCACCTACGAGACTCCGATAGGCCGTGTTGTCGAGGAATGGTGAGCTAGTATCCATCGACGAAACATACCCGGTATCCATTGGGCACTTAGCAGTCTTGGCAGTTTGTAGTCCGAATCTAGCAGAGATTTTGTCAATGTAACTCTCCAGGCAAATACTATATTTCCCGTTCAGTCGTTGGATCTCAAGGCCTAAGAAGAAGCTTGGCTCTCCTAAATCGGTAATATCAAACTTTTCACTCAAAGCTTTGGTCACTCGGCCAATCTCCAATGATTCCAGGCAAGCGACAAGTATGTCGTCGACATATACCAGCAAGTAGGTTCTCAATCCATTAACGACTTTGGTGTAGAGGCACTGATCCGTTTCACTTTGCGTAAATCCCAAATTCTGCAACACGCTATGTAAACGCTGGTTCCAGCACCTGGCTGATTGCTTGAGTCCATAGATGCTACGACGAATTCTGCACACAAGTCGTTCTTTACCCTTCTCAATGA